TCCTTTAGTTTTGAACTCATTTTACTCATGTTTTATTTTGTACATTGTATGTCGAACTCTATAAACTCAAACGTAGGGTTGTTTACACCTATATAAGTGTTTTAAAACAAGTACTCTGAACTTTCGTTCTTCTATCTTTTGGGTATACACTTACATATATAGTCTTATAAAAACAATTTAGAAGTTGAGAATATGGCATAAGTGTTTATATCGAATTCTATAATTTTGGTTGTATAATAATTTGTAGAATATTATAAAAGTATATAGCATAAAAATGATTAACATTTATGAGTTTATTACAAGAACAATTTTATTATTAATGCCAACTAATTTCTAGTATACTTAACATCAATTCTTAGTGCCCCTAGAATTCTATTTAAATTATGCCTACATTGATGGAAATCTAGGAAAAGTATGTTCAATTGTTTATCAAAATTTTACTTATTCATTACAAATTTTATTTTTTAGAAGCCAAACAAAGTTATACAACTTGATGTAAACCATTTTTATGATCCCTCAAGTTTCCATTTCAGCCTTAGGCATAATTATAATCTGTTAGTAAAAAGAAATAATCTTCATTACTTATCTGCCTCCTCCATAATTTCTATGATATATTTCAACACCTTCTTATAGCCAACGATGCTCACGATCGCCAGCCCTAAGCAAATAGAGGTGTATACTCTATGATCATAACATAAACAAAGATGACTATTTCATGAGTTAGTTTATTATGATATTAAAATTTATGGTGGATGTAATGAGGATGTGAAATTAGAAGGCTGGTATTATTTAAGATTTTATAGACGGTTTTGAGGGTTTTATGAAGTGGGAACTTCATATGGGATAATGATATGGAAATGGGTAAGAAGATATAATTGAGAAATTAGAATAAAGTTTATGATGAGAGGATTAAAAAGACAAAAGCATGGAGCATATAAGTTATTGTTTTAGATATATAATGTGAAGCTAAGAGCTAGGTTGATCCTTGCACTGATATGGGTTCTGGGTGAAGGTGTGGATTTATATATATTTACGAAAATTCATGAATTATTTATTTATTACATGCACATTGCACATTATCACCATTATGAATCAAGAATCTTCTCCAGATCATGCACCATACACTTTATGTATTATTATTAGGACATAAACTTATTGATGAATTTTTTTTAAAAAGCCATGAATCATTAAATGTTCACTCTACACTCGTTACAAGAATGATGCCAGTACCTTATAGCATTAAATAATTATATATACATATTCCATACACATTATCTTTATTTTTTCATTATGTAAATAGTTTAATTTTTTTCATAAAAATAATTTTAATGTAACTTAATTACTAATTTAAAAGGTTTATACAATTACTTCAATGAAAAAAAACGTGCAAAGAGATAAGTTTATCAAACTCACCTTGTTTCGACAACTCAACAAAAAATGACCTTCATATTATTCATCATGGCTTCTCTTGCAATTATTACTACCACTACCACACCTTTAAGTTGCTATGCCATAAGTACATCCCTTTTTAATGGATGAACATATTTCTTCATTTAATAAATATTTACTCTTTCCATCACCACTCTACAAAAGATCATCCACATACTACCATCCTTATTGCATACTGCTAAATAATTACCTATAGTATATTCTTACATTGGTTAATTTAAATATCCTAACCCCTTGTATTATTCTTTATATGTCACCATGGCCATGCACATACCTAGAATTTAATATAAGAGTATGAATTTCTTATACAAAAGCATGATGCCAGCTCATTAGTGATAATTATGTAAGCTTATATGAGTTTACACAAGTTTATCAAAATTGAACCCTTATATAGACCACATTTGGGCCAGCTTGTTATTTGCATGCAAGTGACAACATAGGCATTTTGTTGACTAAGGAAACATGAAAGTTATGTATATTAGTTGCACTCATCCCTTGAATTCAGCCACTCCTTGATGGTTCACTTGCTTCAAGCATTATGACCCTTCTTATAGTTTCTTGAGACCCCTCCATCATTACAATTTTTGTATTAGCTATGATCCAACCAATCATATAGTTATCACCTCCTCTCAACCTTCTGAGTGGTTTGCAATAACAATTTTACTCTTTAATAGCTCTTTATGCAATTTCATCCATTATGGTAAGTTAAATCAGCACTCTTGATGCAAACTCCACTATATTTTTTCTTGTCATCACAATAAGCACTTGCACTATGATTACTTTTATAGCCTTATCCTATTTGATTTTTTATCATTTTTGTCGCGTCCCTTCATAATTATTGATGTTATAATATGTAATGGTTGTAACTAAAATAAATATTTATAAATTTTATGAGAACTTCTTACATAAATTCTTTAGAAACACAATCATAATATGTAGCCAAAGATGGGCAAGTTTCTAAGATAATGAATCCTCTCATATGAGGTTGATTTAAATTTATTGGTTTGATTATCTTGAATAACTAAGCAAAGCATAGGTTTCAATATGATAAGAAATATAATGCCTAATGTATTGTGCTCCTATTAAAGAAGTACATAAAGAAGATGGTTGATAAAAATCTTCGAAAAAAATTCCTAATTAGGCCCATCTACAAATGACCCCATTAATATCACAACCCCATTTTACTACTTAAATCATTGTTGCT